GCACTTCACTTTCACTTTTTTAGTATATATATAACTTTCCAATTCATATATATATATATATATATGTATATATATATATATATACACACACATACAATAGCACAGTCTCCACCACCTTCTTCAATACCTTCATTTTCTTCCATTTCCCAGATCTCCAAACTTGAAGTCTTCTAAGCATTTATGTTTACGACACACCCACAGCGACCAATTATTGATATATGGCGATATTGATTTTGTTTTGGTGAGTGTCGAGCTTAATGCTGAGTTAATGTTTGTACTTTGGTTAGACTGATATATATTTTCTTTTCTTTTTGTAGGTAGAATTTTCTTGACATATGAATTTGTGAAATAAGATTTTCCCGGAATCCAAATAGTAGAAGTGGGGATTTCTTGGAAGGAATGCTTGGTGATTATGTTGGAGGAAAGGCTAAGGTTAAGGCTACTAAAAACGGTTGTGCTTGGCTTGTGACGGCTCTCATTTGCTTGCAACTTGGCTGTGCAGTTTATGCAACGATCCTTTTGTATTACATGAGCCCATCGATAGATTTAAGAACTAAACCAGAGATTACTTGGGTGACAAGAATTGCGAGAAACATGAAGTAGTTGATCATCCCACCACATGTTCATGGTCGTTTCCAGGAGGCTGCTTCTTTCATCACAGCCGAAACCATCCCTCCGATTACCCCATCACAAGTTTGCGAGCAAGAGAAGATCGATTTCGTGCAGAAGAAGTCGAATGATGCTTAAATGATCAAGTTGAAGAGAGAGCTGTATGATGAGATACTGGGTTTTCAAAGCAAGACCATTGGTACAGAAACTCTAGCAGAGCTAATTGCAATGAAATCCCGATGGGATATGCGCGGTCCAAGCCGACCGAAAGTAACAGTTCTCTTGAACCATTTCAAGAGAAAAACACTTTGTTCCCAGCTCGATTCTTTGCTTCAACAGTCGCTTCCATTCCATCATTAGGTTCTTTCATTCGGGAGTCCAAACAAGCACTCTCTAAAGAGAATTGTAGAGAGCTGCAACGATTCGAGGATCAACTTCATTAGTTCAAGATATGATTTCAAGTACTATGACAGGTTTCAAATGGCTTTATAAGCAGAAGTCAATTTTGTGTACATCGTGGACGATGACATGATTCCTGGAAAGAAAATGTTACAGATTTTATCTCATGTATCAGGAATTGAGAAGTATAAGAACTCTGTTTTGGGCAACATTGGAAGGATCTTGCCTTTCAGACAGAAGGATTTTTCCTTCCCGAGCTACAGGAAGTTCCTATCCAATGAGGCAGGGCTTTACTTGCCTGACCCTGCATATGATATTACAGTCCATAAAATGGTGCAGGTGGATTTCCTCTCCAGTTCATGGTTCTTGTCGGCTGAGCTTGTCAAGGCACTTTTCATTGAGACACCATTCTCATTCACGACCAGCGAAGATCTTCATCTTAGGTATGTTTACAAAAGTTTCATGGCACATAAAAATTATCAACAACAAAAAAGAGTTGGTATAGTAATAGTCCAAAAGTTTTTTTTTCTATCGCTGATTGGTTTTGGTTGGGTACAAAAATAGAATATTTTTTCATGGTTCAGTCACCTGTTGAGTAATATACATATGCATTATCTAAAGTTAGCGGTGATAAACAATGATGTGTGACTGCTAAATATGATTTAATTATATCTTGAGGAAACTGATTGTACCAAAGGGATCTCTACATATTTGATGAATTGTGTTAGAATAAGAGGGATCAATGCTGAAAGTTGACTCGCAAAGCATTTAAAAAACTAATTTTCTACTTAATTCTATGAAAGAATCTTCTTAACTCATGCTACAATTTATTAATACTGGGTTGATCAACTTTTTCTTAATATTCTATTCTCTTGAGGAAAATGATGGATATTTTATACATTAGTTCCGGTTAAGGGTGGATACTCTGTATCCTATTTCCACTACAGATAATTTCTGCATTATTGATTTTTTTTTATTCTGAATAATTTACTTGCAGATTATTCAGTATTCGTTTTTAAGATTGTAGCACCTTTAGGTTAAAACTGTGTTTTACGTGTGATAATGCTTTTGTATCGCATGCAAAAACAAAGTTTTAAGTATTGGATGATTGTTTTTGTTCTAAAGTTGCAATTTCCAAGGCTCTAAAGGTTATAAACATATTTTTTCCTTTTTGTGCAGCTATCAGCTTCATAAGTATAGAAATGCAGGCTCTTTTGTTCTTCCAGTTGACTCTACAGACAAAGAAACATGGGGTGATAGTGAACACAGGCTTGCTTATGTCTCAAAAACCACTGTGATCTTCAAGGACATAGTTCAAGTCAGAGATGAGCAATGGTGGAGGGCACAAACTACTGGTTATGTAACTCAGTGGGCTGCAATGTACCCTCAAAAGATTGACGCTTTCTTGTATGCTCACAGTGTCGATGAGGTCAGGGCACTTGCCCCACTGCTAGAGAATTTCAAATCTTTTGTCGGAAAGAAGACTTATATTGTAGTTTTCGGAGGTAATTTTTGCCCCTGTGATGATGTTGCAATTGCTCTAAACTGGCCAAAGTCGGTTTGCAAAGAGCGAAGATTTAAGATTTTCGATTTGCAAATAGGAGCACTTTCAGGAACATGGAACTCTGAGGTCCCAATTCTGCAGGCAGTATACTCTAGTTTGAAAGGATTGATCAAAATTCATAACCCCGGTGTGATTATCACAGTGACAGACATTGATCCCAATGTGAAAAAAGCTTTGAAGATGGCATCAGAGATGAATCCGAATGGTACTGCACTCGTACTTTTACCAAGGCCTTCTGTCTCAAAGGTTCTATGGATGGCAGATCTAAGATCAACAGCATTGCAAAGTAAGAATGTCAACATGTTGATTTTTTATAATAAAAAACATTGTTAAATTAAATCATCTAAATTATCATTTTGTGTTGCATATTGGAACCGGATGCGGAGCTCTATCAATATAATTACTCAAAATCGTACACCTTCTTTAACAAGGCTTCTTAAGTCTCTGAGTGATGCATACTATATGGGAGATGAGATACCTATCAGCTTCAACATGGACAGTAAAGTGGATGAGGCAACTATTAAACTTATAGATTCATTTCAATGGCCTCGTGGCCCTAAAACCTTCAGAAGGAGAATCATTCAAGGAGGTCTCATTCGAGCTGTAAGTGAGAGTTGGTATCCAACATCAAATGATGACTACGGTCTACTACTTGAGGACGATATCGAAGTCTCTCCTTACTACTGTTTATGGATTAAATACGCTCTCTTAGCCTACCACTATGACCCTCAAGTATCCCTTCCTTATCTCTCATCGATCTCTCTTTACACTCCTCGATTAGTTGAAGTTGTGAAAGAGAGGCCGAGATGGAACGCAACCGAGTTCTTCAAACGGATTCACCCGAATTCTCCTTACCTTCACCAACTACCTTGTAGTTGGGGTGCAGTATTCTTTCCCAAGCATTGGAGAGAATTCTATGTTTACATGAACATGAGATTCACCAAAGGCGCACAAGCGAATCCAGTTCAAATCCCGAATTCGAGAACAAACGGATGGCAAGCTTCATGGAAGAAGTTCCTCATTGACATGATGTACATCAGAGGATACATTAGCCTTTATCCCAACTTCCCGAACCAAGCTAGCTTTTCAACCAACCATATGGAACCAGGGGCCCATATCAGTGCCAAGGACAATGTCGTTCAGCACGATAAAGCAAATTTTGAAGTCCCATTGTTAGTGGAAGATTTTAGAACCTTGTTGCCTAATCGGAAGTTACCGTCGGCCTCGAAGCTGTCATCACTTAACCTTTTCAACCAACCTGTGTCACTCAAAGGGCTCAAGGCCGCTGGTGCCAAGTTGGGACAAGATGTATTGCGATGCAACAATGCTACAGAGATTGTGACAGTGGACCATATAACAGGTCTGCCACTCCGATGCTCAAAATTCACATGATTTTGCGTCTGTTATTCTTTATTTCGTTCAATCTAAAAGGAAAAATCACCCCAAATATAATATTTTTGTCTATCTTCTTCTTTTTGTACTTTTTTATATGAACCCAGAACTGGCTCTGCTGTAAACTGTAATTAATTGTCTTCAAAAACTGAAACCAAACCAGGATTTTCTTTCTATAAAATGCATACATCTGCAATAACTAGAACATCCAACTACTGTAAATAGCTTGAAAATCAAGATTTTGGTGAGGATTGTGTCGGTTGACAGTAAACATCATACACACTTAATTGTTTTGATCTCTTTATGAAATTTGATTGATCACCAAAATCACATGGGAATGCGAATGCCAGCTTCCCTGATAAGGCCATTGTGGTTGGTGGTGAGCCAAGAAAAATTTCATGGATTAAAGTGAACATTACATTTATATTGGCCCCTAAATTTTGCATTTTTGTTTTCAAATTTTGGATTTTCTTAAAGTAACAAAATTTAATAAATTAAACCCACCAGGAAACTTGCCTCTGTTACTATTAACCCAATCTCCTAGATAAGTTTTGCTTATCTGATAGTAAATATTATATAAAAAATTAATGGGGAAAACAAAATATCCAACCAAAATCCGAGTCATAATAATGTCAAATCAGTAGTCGTATGTCCCCAAAACATTAGTTTAAAATCTGACAGCTGTTAAGTGTTAACTGATTAAAGCATAATTAAATATAAGTACACAACAAAACAGATTTTAAAGTGTTAACTGATTATATAAAAATAATATTTCGGTATCTCTTTTCAATTAAAATATAACTAATAACAGTATTTTTTTTATTTTTTTAATAAAAATAAAGTTCTAAGCTTTTTATTAAAATTAATTAATAAAATTAAAAACTTACGTTTTTAATATTAATGTTCGACTTGTATGTTAGATAAACCATATAATTTAATATTTATAATAATTAATTATAATTATATAATTTAAAAAATTAAGCCACCGCAGAGACAACAAATACCAGATCGTATACTGTTTTTCTCTCCTCGTCTCTGCTAGTCTTCAAACAAAATTTTATTAGAAAAAACACTGTTTGCTGTCTGTTTTAGTTTGGTATAAGATCAAGATCAACTGATCTTCAATCAACAAAGAACGAGGTATGCTTCTAACCCTAGTTTTTTCTTCTCGAGATTTGAATTTTCTTCAATCAATAAAAATCATACAAAACTGCATAGAGTTTGTTTCACTTCGCTAAGCAAGCCTCTCCGCGTAGGAGAGTACAATAGCCTGAGATTTTTTCATTTATGACCTTTGCAATACTGAAATTTTGGCAATATATCACTTCAGCTTGGCATCGACATTGGGTCAGTGACGGTGGCAAGAGACGTGGTCAGTCTCGTGCTTGGTTACCTTAACAATCTGGTTATCGAAATGGCCTTTTTTATTCAGGTAAAAATGAAAACCAGGATTTGGCAGCCCAGAAAAAAAAAAGTGAAATTGCAAGTGTAATTTAAGTTGATAAAAGGATCTTGAGATTTATATATACTAATATACATATAAATACAGAGGAGGAGCTGCCGGAGCATCTTCTTGGGACGTGCCGGCTGAACCATCTAGACGCAGCAAAATCTGTTACAGTAAAAGTATGAATAGTAATTTATTCTAAATTTAATGCCTGATTACTAGGGTAGATTGGTTGAGAAGCTTGGGCAATGATTGATACAGAATAGCAAAAATCATGTAATTGGTTATGGCATTGCTGCTGCTACTGCTACTTCCACATTGTTGTATTATAGTAAATGCCATCCTAAATGTGTGTTTATTCAAAACTTCAGGGTTTTTTTGGGATTAATTGCCGACGTACATACTTCTTTCTGCATGTATGATGTGTCTACCAAAAACGAAGTACAAAGCACATGAGTATGGAGATCAAATCATAATTTAATAAATTAATTAAGTATAATTGATTTTACATTTTTTGGTCCATAATTGAATTTGTTAATACGAAAATTCATGGGCAATCTAATAATTCAAAATGCAAGTGAGAAAGGTCCAAGTCCCAAGTGTATGGGGACCACAGCAGCATGTGGGCAGAAGGTGGAACTAAATAATTTGGTATGGGGCCCAAATTACAATAACAAATCAAATCAATCAATCAATCGTCCATCTCGTATTCAATCTTTTCTGTTTAACATAATTTAGATCTACCTTGTCGCCTCCAAATCATTTTTAGTTAACTTAATTTGAACCCCATCGGCCCCTCAAATTCACAATTCAATATTTCATTTACCCTCTAGTCCCTACCCTTTAACTTTTTTTCTGTAAAGGGTCGATATTTATTTAAGGTTTAATTCAACGATCTTTATATATATCTCTAAAATTTTATTCATTTTATTACATAGTATTCTCTGATAATATTATATTATAAACAATAAAATAATAATAATAGAACCAGAAATGAATATGGATTATAGTAATTTATATGTTAAAAATATAAATTAAATATTTAATTTAATAGAATAATAATTTAAATATTTAACTCAAAATATAATCTTTAAGCTTTTTTTTTGAAAAAAGGGAAATTTTCCCGAAATTTTAAAACATTTGACTCAGAAAAAAAGAGATGAATGAGGTGTGTCCTGTGTGTGATAAACTCAAAAAATGATTGTCCCTTGTTCTCATATGTAATAGGGTAAGGAGGAGGTAAGATAGTAGGCTGCCCCCAACACTAAAGAGCAGCTTCCGTATGAAACCTCCAAATTATGAAATGCCCTCCATGAGACTCGATCCTACGACCTTAAGGTTAAAAATCTTATGCTCTACCAACTGAGCTGGATGGTATAGGGAAAAACGGAGGTGCACCATCTCCATGTGCGCCTTCTCACATGAACATTTACCGTCTTTCACTAAATCCCTACAAGTAGCTCAGTTTCAAACGAATCATATCCCTTCATTCTTATTTCTCTCTCTCGTTTTTCCTCTGATCCGAACAAGAAAACGGCGACCTCTGCTTCAATCTTCTCATTCAAACCAGGTCCCCTCTCTCCCCCTCATTTTTATTCTTTTTAATGTTTCCAGTTTTCGGTTTCTCTTCTGCATTTTAGATTACTTTCTTTTTGTTTACTCAGAGAAATGAAGGAAATTACCAACCTTCTCTCTTTGATATCGTTTACAAACTTTCAACTTTCCTTTTGCTGCATTTCATTTTCCATGTATCCAGACAAGCTTTTGTAATAAGAATTCTTTTACAATATTTTAGAGCTGTTATTACTGGTGTTTTCTTTCTTTCTGTTCTGTTAATAGTCATGCTGAAATGACGGCCTAACCGATTCTCCAAACCTAGAAAAGAACTTCCCCTAAACAGAGAACTTTAATAAAAATAATAATGATGATGATGTTATTATTATTATTGCCTAAATTTTTTTTGTGTCCTTAATTGCTCCAAAATTTTAGAAATTTTACACGATGAAGATGGTACCGCTGAAGATATTGCTCTGCTTTGTAAAGAAAATATTGATAAATAAAACCCCATAATTGTAGGATGATAAGCTAATTTCCATATGAGATCATAACTCTTTACTTAAATATGAACGTGATTACAACATTTAATGAATCAGTGATTAACGTTTCCCTTCTATTTTCTGAACAGAGAATTTGAGAAAGAACGGGAAAAGTTCTGAAAAATGAATAATTCCTGGTTTGACAAAGGCTTCAACGGGGTTGGGGTCAACGACGATTTCTTTGATGACGTAATAAAGTATTTGGATATACCATTCGAAGACGCTGAAGTGGCTGATTGTCACGGTAGTAGAGGAGATGTAAAAAAAATTCATTTGCCTGTAGAAGAGAACAACGAAGGTGATGAAGAGTGGGATTGCAACTTCGAAAACTTAGAGCCTCCACCCGCCAATGTTTTTGCCGGCTTGTCTTCTGGGTTTTATGGTGATTTCTTCGGTGATAGTTTGGAGAAAAGCCATACAATTTCAGTGAGTTCCACTTGTTTTCCATTCCATACTTTTTTTTATTAGTGCGGTTGTTAATTTAGCATTGGCTTGAATGCAAATAATAACACATTGTTTTTTTCTTTCAAAAATCTGATGTACGAGTTTATCATGCGTCTCTATGAATTACTATTGAATTAATGACCTTTCTAGTGGTAGTTGGAGCTTGTTTACTATTAAGACAGACAAAATATCTTTCATGACATGGACTGAACTTTGTCTTGTTAGTTTTATAGAGTTGTCTACAGTGTACAATCTACTTTCTGCATGTTGTCATTGCATGTGCACTTTCAGAAGCAACCACCATATTAATATGGTGATATTTCATTCATACTTCATGAAAAAGCAATGTTAGGTTGGAAGCAACGTTGTTCTTAAGACATGCAGTGCTTATAAACTCCTGAGAGTAATTTCATATTTTGTGAAATATGCTCTGCGAGAGCTTGATGGTTCAAGTGCTTGAAGCAATAATTAGATGTTGTACTTTGCAAGAAGTTTTTATTTCATCCAAAAAGAAGAAGAAGAAAAAGTTTGCTGCAGATGAAATAAGAACATGGCACATATCATGCGCACTGGTGCACCACATATTATTACACTGGTACATATGTATGTTCTAAGCAAGCAAGCAGGCCCAGGCAGTGCCAGTTTTCCCTTGCCAATAAATGGATGGGACCACCTTATAATGCTTTTGATTGTGATATGATTGATGTTCAAAATCAGAGTGGCACTTTTTTCTGATAAATTTCATAAGAGATTTATGCAATTGTATCTGATAATTATTCTGACATTGATCAGGATTGTGGCCATTTTGTAACCACTCTCAATTGAATCCTCTTGCAACTGCAATAAAGATGAATAGCCAATCTTTGAGAGGCCTTTTCTTTCTCTTCCATATTTTTTCTTATTGTATGGAAGATAGGCTAAATCTTCCTTAACCTCATATTTGACTCTTCATCTTTGTAGTGTGATGGATCTACTCAGTTAAACCAACAGTTGAGCACTACCAAAGCAGCCTCCAGCACCAGCAGAAGCATTACCTTGCACAGCGAGTCTACTGATGTGAAAGGTTCAACCTGGTTCCAGACTTCCAGTCCAGTATCCGTGCTTGAAAGCAGCAACTCTTGCCCAGGTACAAATCCCACACCTATTAACCCTAAACTAGGTTTCCCGGTGAAACGAGGTCGAAGCAAAAGCAAGTGCAGACGAGCCTCTATCCTTAACCTGCAGTTCACGTTTCGTTCCGCATTCCTCTACCTCCAGGGGATCTGATTATCTGGCTGGTTCTGAATCAGAATCAGAAAGCCATCATACGGAGAAACCTGCCAAAAAGAGACAGAAGAAGAAGAAGAAGAACCTGGCATTGCTTTCAGTTTCCAGTGAGATCAAGAAATCCTCCTCGCAACAGCCTACTGTTGTTATGGCATGTATGCACTGTGAAGTTACAGAAACACCGCAATGGAGAGAAGGGCCAATGGGACCAAAGACCCTTTGCAATGCATGTGGGGTTCGCTACAGATCCGGACGTCTCTTTCCGGAGTATCGTCCTGCTGCAAGTCCGACATTCGTTCCGTCGATGCATTCAAACTCTCATAAGAAGGTGGTAGAAATGAGAAAAAGGGCCAAGCAGCCGTTGTCAAACCCTTCCCGCGAACGCCATTCCGATAGCAGTAGACGCATTGATAACTATTAGTGGAGAACAGTGAGCTTCTCCATTGTTGTGTTATACTTGCATTTATTTACTTGTTTCTCAGTGTGTACATCGATGGAACAAGTAGGAGGTTAGATAATTGAGACATGTTTGGCAGACAGGAAATATCTAAGTGAAGTAGAAGAGAAAATGAAGGCTTCATTTTTCAGATTTTAGGTTTAACAAATTTCCAGTTTGACAGTATACTCATTTATTCTTCTAACAGTTAAATGTAATTTTTTTCATTGTTTTTCTTTTTTTTTCATTTATTTATTTTTTATTCAGAATAAATATAATTTAGGCCAACTGGGCCAAAACCCAAATCAATTTAGAATCATATGGAACTGATTAGGAAAGGAAATTAGCAATAAATTTAATTATTTATTTGTTTTGGTTTGTTTTGTTTTAAGTGCGAGTGACTGAGTGATATGCTTAAAAGATTGTCTACTAAATTTCACTTGCAAGCCAATACAGCATATTGTACCCAATTTGGTTGGATACAAAAATTTATTTATTTTATTAAAAATATTTATCAATACACAGCAAATACGCATATAAAAAAATATATTTTTTGTTTTATTTTTAAAATAAAAATTAAAAGAATTGTTTCCTTTGTTTCATGAATTAATTTTGATCACAAAATATTTTTAATATAAAAAACCTCTTCTAATTATGACTTGTTTCATTTGTAAAATTAAACCATCTCATTACATATCTCGTACCTTTTTTTTCACCTCTATAATACAATCATTAAACCTTACAGGATCAACTATATGTGATTGATCTAAATATGAGAATTTAGTATGAGAATCAGAAATTAATTTCCTGTTCAGGTAATCATTCATAATACTTGTTTCTTTCGTTTAATAAAACTTGCGTAACTATATGTTTTTTTTTGGTTACTTTTATATGTTATTCTTGCAGATTTGCCCTCAAATGAAACATGCTCCAAACTTCCACCAACCAGTAGGAATTTAACATTTTTTTTCGTAGGCGTTCCTTTTATCATCTTCTCTCGCATCACCATTTTCACAGGTCTCAATAATATTTTTCACAAGTTGACCCCGAGTAGACAGAGAATTTGATGATAATGTTATCTTCGAATTGACACGACTCACTGGTCAAGTCTTTGTATCTTACCAACCTATAATTATAATTATCAAGTAAAGGCCGGTCATAAAAGCAAAGAATTGTGCCAGAAAAACAATGACACCCAAGAGAGAGTAAAATTGTCTAACCTGCACTTCTATATTAGAAGAACACAACAGCGTATCAAGGATGAATTGTATGCCTGTACGCATTCTCTTAACCTGACTCACAATGTTAGAACCACAAAATGCTTTAAAGTAACACTTATCAAGATACAAATAAATATATAAGTATATAATTCAAACAGTTAATAAAGCAGCAACAATAAAAAAATGAAATTTGTGCAATACTATCATTGACATTAAGTAGAAATGCCTTTAACATACCCCGTTAAAGTCCTCAATGTTGGAGATCGGAACCCATCCTAGATCATCCATCAAGGAAATCAGGTAATGATCATTTTGAAGATTTTCATCACTGGAAAAGAAAGGTCTACGGTCAACAAGTAATACACAAATAAAACATTATATATATCATTACAAAAGCAAATAAAGTTATGATATTTAATCAGTATAAACATTCAAAAGTTCATATTTTGGCTTCCCAAATGATAAAACGCATTCCAAAAGGCTGGAAACAAATGACTTTCTATCAAAACTCACAATAGCATGTAATCAATGATTGCGTAAGGGATGGAACAATCGTTTTCACCAACCAAGAAATAAATCAACCCATCAATAGAAATTGTAGTAGGATAGGAAAGGAACAACATAGAATTTAGAAGTGATTCTAGATAGTGGCATCCAGCAGTAAAGCAGCAAACAGTAAACCACATAAAAACCTACGTAAAAAAATATTAAATAAATAAGAATAAAAAGAATCTATTATATTACCTGAAATAATACTCAACTTGTTTCACTATATTATCCCTCAAAGTTACAATCTCCGGAGGGAACATGGCAGTTCCTAGATTCATAGGGCATGAAACAAGTATGGAGAATGTGGTCGCCTTACAGAGCCTGGAGGAGCGACATGCACGTTGTATACATCCGCGGAAGGTATACATGTAGCGACGGAGTCAGCCAGGATTGGACTATGAAGGGATCAATTATTTAATTCTGAAACAAATAAAATATTTAAAATGAATAAATCATAAAATTTAAATAAGTTATAATTTAATTTCACTAATTTTAAAATTAAAGGTATTAAAGAGTAATTAAACCATAAAATTAATTAATTATTTTGTTTTGTTTTAAGTGTGAGTGACCGAGTGATTTGCTTAAAAGATTGTCCACTAAATTTCACTTGCAAGCCAATACAGCATATTATACCCAATTTTTTTGGATACAAAAAAATATTTTTTATTTAAAATATTTATCAATACACTGCAAATATGCATCGAAAATTATCTTTTAGTTTTATATTTTAAATAAAAATTAAAAGAATTGTTTCCTTTGTTAACTCACTAGTCGGCTCTTTACTAAAACATCTAAAACAATTCAGTTTTCCATTTTTCCTAACCCTACACCGCCTCTAAAGTCCTTGACACACGTAAACATATACGCAGACTATATATACACCTCTTCTACCGTTTGTTCTTTTATCGTATTAATTTGAGAATAATTTATTAATAATCTCAAAAATCATGACTAAAAAAATTCGTTGTAATCTCGTGGAATCTATTTCAGATGAATTGTTATCGAAAATTTTTATGCATTTAGCCCCTAATTTTATCGTCTATTTCGTCAATACTCAATTAAGTTGTAAGACTTTTTATGAATTTTTCAAGTACAACAACAATTACCAAAACGTTTCAATGAAGAATATCAACATCATTCCATGGTTTAAAAACGAGATTTTTTTTTTCAAAAAAGATGTAAAGCTTCTAATAATCCTGAAGCGTTATACAGAGAAGGCATATATGATTGTTTTAGTGGAATAAAACCAGAGTTTGGTCGGCATTGTTTGAAGAAAGTTGCCGAAAAAGTTAATATCAAAGTTATATATGTCTATGGCATTATTCTAATTTGTTGTGGGGTGAATTAAGAGAAGAATGACTTCGAATCGTGAAAGCTCTTAATCTCGTCAATTCTAAGAACAAATTTAGAAGTATTCGTTCGGAGATGAAAAGTTATAGACTTAATGCGTGGAGGCGCAGCAAGCTAATAGGTCCAAAACGAATCGACTGCAACTATGATACGACAAAGTTATATATGTCTATGGCATTATTCTAATTTGTTGTGGGGTGAATTAAGAGAAGAATGACTTCGAATCGTGAAAGCTCTTAATCTCGTCAATTCTAAGAACAAATTTAGAAGTTATTCGTTCGGAGATTGAAAAGTTTATAGACTTAATGCGTTGGGGGCGCAGCAAGCTAATAGGTCCAAAACGAATCGACTGCAACTATGATACGAACCGTTGGCGTACTTCAGTCGCACAAGTTTGAGAACGAAGGAACAACCTTTGCACTTGTTATATTTCTTGTTTTTAGGACCATGAAGAAACTTTGTTTTGTTATAGAATATTTAGTTAGTAAAACCGTGTATTGCTCGGTTGGCCTAGCACAAAGATTGTAGCTACTTCGTCAATATAATCATTAAGACTAAAGCTTTTAACAACTTCGTCTTTTGCATAACCATCAAAATAAATAAAACAAAATCATCGTATTTCTTTTGCTAAAGTTGATCCATGCATTAGTTTCTGTATATATTGTTCTAAAGATATTACATATTATATACAATGAGTTTTACTTTGAATTATTATTATTATAATGCCTAAACAGAAGTGATGTCGCATATGATTAATGTCTAAATAGGCATCTTTCGGAGATTCATCACATTAATGTAAAACATGTATATTCTTAAATGCTAGATGGTTTGTTTGCTCTTCAAATTTGTTACTACTGAGCTTCTCTTACTGGAGATCATATTTACCAATTCCGGGGGAAATCCCAACATTTCCTGATGAATTAATTATCAGACGGTTAAACCAAATTATGATGCACTAAAATATTTAATTAAATGAATCAAATGCAAACCTGAACCGGGTGCCTTCCATATTACAAAGCTTTGTACCTGTTCTTCATTGCATTTTTTTTCCTGATTTATTCATCATTTCCGTTTTCCATGGACAGGTAGGGGGAAAGCTTGGTTTTCGGACAAAATAAATTACAGTGAGATGCATTTCACACAAAAGACCAGTTAACAAAGGATAAGGCGAGGCAATGGACAGTGGTCTCGTCGGCTTCAAGGACTTTCCAGGCAAAAGCTTGTTCGTATGAAACATGGCGTCCCATTGTTGACATGCAGATTCCAGCCGACAAGGAAGCAAATCCCTGTTGTTAAAGTTGAAATCTTTAGGGCCAATTATATATGTATTTACCAGACAAATTACAGCAACCCTTTTCTTAGCTCGGCCAAATATTTAACTCGGGTTGACTCACCTGCTGCATTAACTTGGCAAAATCAGAGCACAATGCCTTGCGTCCAGACTCATCAAACAATTTGTCCAAAGTTACGTCTTGTAGAGCCACTAGAGTTGTCTCGAGCATGTCCAGTCCAGCTTGATTTGCAAATATGAAAACTGTTGAGACTGCAAACCCAAAACAGAAAAAGATTACTCGATTTGAACATTCATGAAGAGTGCATCAAAAGGACCTGATATACACAGCTCAAAGATAAGCTCTCGCTTTTTCAAATTTTGACTATACCTTCAATGAACAGCACAATATTGCATCCCGGTGTTGCCAGAGATTCTTCAATAGATAGTCACCGCCAAGTGATTCAGACCTCAACAACTCCGTCCCTAAATAGAAACTGAGTAAAGACAAATGAAAATGACACATCAGCAACAAGGGGTGAAAAGGATAAAAGAGCTGATTCCATAAACCAACAGCACTTATAGTTTCCAGAGTGGCATGTTAGCAAAAACTACAATATACACAAACAATAAAGCAACTCACCTGTAGCTCCGGCAAATCCATTGAGCCAGTGTAAGTGCTTCTGGAGAGCCTGGAGATAGCTTTGGTCCGGTAGCTGGGTTCAATCCAGCTGGTGATATGGCCATGGCAACCCTCTGGACAGAAGAAATGACACTATGGACATATTGACGTGCCATGTTTGCAATGTTATTCTGAAGATTGCTTTCAAATGGAAACTGGAAGGCAATTGTCAACACTGATCTTGTGCTCTGACACAATGGAGCATCTCCTGCAGCATGATTTGTTGCTGGTCCTACTTCGAGACTAGAAGCCAGATCCAAAGTCCGATTTGCAATGAATGGATCTTGTGGATCAGACTGCATGAAAACACCATCAGTATCTTGTTTTGCCTTAAAGACCGAAGAAACGATGAATAATGTTGATGGAAAAAACTGTCAAAAGTTCAGGTGAAAGACAGGAAACTTAACTGGTTTTGAATCCAAAGGAATAACACGGAACCCTGAAGGTAGCAAGGGAGCATCATCTGGAAACATCTCATCAATTGGGCCAAATACAAGCTCTGAACAGGCACCCACAGCATTCTCATCAATTCCACTACATATCTGCAAAGATGATAATACAGAAGATGTTAAAAGAAAGATCAACATGTTTAATTTTCTTTTACTGCAAATGCAGTTCCAAATGGTTTCAAGTAATAAAAACGTATTGGTTTCAACTTTCATATTAAACATGTAGAAAAAAGAGTAAAATCACCTGCAATAGATGAATGTCCCTTGATACGAAGGCATCTTCTTGCACAAAAGACTGGCCTTCAAGTCTTATTACTTCGAGCATCTGACACATGATAAATGCAGCATGAGCAAAGCTTCTTGGACAGGTGAGAATCGATGACACTTTCAATTGAAAACAAGAGAATAGAACAGAGGAACCGTATGACCACATAGAAGATATACCTCCTCATGTTCAATGGTGTGTCCAAGTGGCATGATGATCTGGCTCCCCGTAAACCTTGTAGGTCTCATTCCAGGATAGGCATTTGTTCCAGCCTTCAACGATGCAGCACAATAAGCATCAACATTGAAATCAGCCCACTCCGAGCGATGCTCCCTCAGGAAACGTACAAGCACAGCAGGACTAACATTCTGAAAAAATAATAACAGTAGTAATAAGGTAGGTAGTCCCACTGTCTCGAAGTCAAAGACATGGTATGGAGAAGGCTTAAACTTGTGTGTGGAAACAAAGTCTCTCTTTTCAACTAAAACCTAACTGCCAGTTGCAATGAAAACAGAAATGCTATAAGTGATAGCGAATATGGAAACTTTCTTATAGAATAAGAAAACATTTTTCTGTTTTTAAAGGTTTTCTAGAACTTACTTGAATCAACATGGATGCCTTCGCACATAGAACACCCGCAAGGAACGAAAAGGCAGCAGCAGGATGAGAAGTGCTGCCAAAGCTCTTGCTTGAATTGATTGCAATTATCACATCCTCAGTTCCATCACAATTTAGTATGGACCATCCATCATCGTTGAATCCATTTATTGCATCGTTGAATCCTCTACAAGTAAATATAAACACAAATATATCATCGAAATTAAGGAGCATAACGCACAAACACAGATGCCGCACAATTCTTTTGCACATTCGAACTCGTAATCCTAATTAACAAGGATTTAAAATAGACCTTTTAGCTACCTGCTTAATCTTTGGCTAAATGTTCTTAGTACGGCTGGTTGCCGGCCAAGACTGTAAACCACCTCACCACTTGTCTCTTGAGCAATCTGCCTGATGTAGCGCAGTGCCTTTGCAGAGATCAAATAGTCAGTACCTTTAGAAATGCCTTTTGTGGCAATACAAAAGAAAATCAAAAGAAACTCTCAATGTTTGGTAATTTTAGGGTTAAGAGGACGTCAAACCCAATAGGATTCATAAAACATGAATCAGCCATGTTAAGCAATTTGTTATGCACATTTACTTGCAAAATTTTTTTATCACCGTAGTGAAGAATCTACTCACCGCAATCGTCATTTTATGAGCAACTATTTTAGATGATTCATAAAGTGGGCGCAGCACCTCCGGCACACTCCATGCCTGCCATAAGGTGATTACAGATCAAGTCTGCTACAATAAAGGCGTCTATTCCGTGAAAGTACCTACTATTAAGAAGTTGTACCTCAAGATTCAGGTGGTCGACGATATGGATGATTGACCCTCCACCCTCACAAGGCCTAATTAAATAACCACTAGGAAGCACTTCAGCTCTCACAAATTGAGCAGCAGCTGCTGCACTCGGTCCAGCACCCGAACCAGAAAGTGATCTCTCACAGACCTTGGAAAATAGAGGGGGAAAACATTAAATGAAAAGCAAAACTCCTCAAATCATATAATCAAAGGGACAGTCAAATAAGCAATGGAGATGCTCAGCAAGTACAATACCAATACTTCAACCTCAACTTTCTTAATACCCATACATAGTAATGCTTTATGCTATTTAAATAAATAACAAGTGCAAGATATTCATACCACAAGACTGCCATTTTCTAAAGTTGTAGTGTATCTTAGAGTCCAAAAATCCCTTGCAGGAGCCAGCGTAGTCGGAGCGAATGTCTAAAACAGTTCTCAATTTAGTTATCCATCGTGAAAAGGGAGTAAACATTCACTCTTATATAAATAAATATATAGTAAAATCCTTCTTATTCACCTGTGTGTATACAAGCTCAATTGTTCCGCCATTGCCAGCTGGAAACATTGTAAAAACTTCAAGGTTCCGGCAGTCCCGAGACCAAGATGGACGATCTTTAAGAATCTCCACAATCTATAAACAACAGTTTAATGGTGTTGTTCAGACTTCAATCAAATAAGTCTCAAACAATAACAAAATGTCTAAATTCTTTATAATGACATTGGAATCCATACCTTTATAGGTTCTAAACTTACAAGACCACAGGCTCGAGCTGCCACTCCACTACAACTTTGGGAAATGGCAAATATCCCAACCGAATCTGGACCAGGCTGACAACGTTTTGAACAAATAGGATCAGAGACACTCTGATTTTTTTAAGAAACACAAACAATACCACTAGATGCATATAAAAAATTGACGACCAAATAAAGGAAAACATCATTGGTAAAAGGCACTGACCTTCATCCCAGGCATCTGGACCCAATCGACAGCAGTTCCCGTAGCCTTGGAAAGGAACTCTGCCAAGGTCTCCTCTGCAATGGAGAGTAGTCTGCCAAGATCATGACAAAATTCACAGAATTTATTTGAATATATATATATATAGATGTGTGGCAGCCCGTGCACATCGAGATAGAGAGATAAAGAACTGGTTCATATAGTTAACACTGAACTTACCCAGCGGGGCTATTGGCATCTCGCAGTGAATGCTGAGGAGTGGTGACCAAGGAATTACCACTTGCATCAGGTGCTGAAACCTGTTAAAAATCCAAAATAAACAACAATAATGTCAAAACACATACAACGGGACCACGGAAAATGCATAATATTTGTTTATAGAAATTGCTCAAAACAGGTCTGTATCACAGAGTAAGCAGGAAATGTTTTAATCACATAAGTGTGGACAAATATGCACACACACACACACACATATTGAAAATAAGAGGCAAACAACGCATAGGGAGTATAAGACACAGTAAATGCTTTAATTAGTATGCAATAAAGATCTATATATAATGTCTAACCCCAAAAGAAAGCATAAGATCTATATATAATGTCTAACACCAAAAGAAGGCATAAGATCTATATATAATGCCACGGCTAAAATTTTCAACTTAAAATGCAAATTAAGGGTATGTGTTTTCACAACAATTACCATATGGATACAGTTCTGCAATGGGAATTGAAGAGAAACAAACAAAGAGAGAGCAGAAGAAAATACATTTACAGTATGCAGTTGTTGCTTCATATACCCATTCTCGCAGACCAGCTGAGACACCTGTTTTTGCAACCGATCATTCTCCTCCATCAACAGCTTGTTCATTGCTGTTAATTTTCTATTCACAGTCTGCAGCCTCGATGACTCCTTTTTTTGCTTCTCTCTGCACCTGCACTCCTCAATGGCAACCCCATAAATTTTCCATCTCCAAAAAGGGGGAAAGGGACCCCATTTTATATAGATAACAACTATAATGGAAAACAAAATCAAGATCAAGTTTGCATACCTCCGATTCTGAAACCAAACTTTGATCTGTTTAGGTTCAATGTTAGAAAGAATGGGGCATTCCCGTATTAACTGTTGCCTGCGCAAGGAATTAGGCTTAGGGCACTCAGCATAGACTCGTTCCAAGGCTTCGACTTGCTCAGCCGTGTACCTAACATACTTGCCAGCATCAAGATGTTTGTCGATGCTACTTCCACTGCTGCTCTCCCTATGTTGGGCCACCGCCATAGCCATTTCTAGTTAAGACCAACACTGAAAGAAACAATCTCTCTTTGTATTATATATGAGAATTTATCAGACAAAGAACTCGGTGAGAGTGAGTGAAGGAAAGCTGTGAGAGCTTGTTTGGGAGGATTTAGCTTCACAACTAATATCACTTTGTTTCTTAGTCAATAACGTCCTTTTTCTGTGATATATATATGAGAGAGATAGAGAGAGAGTAAGCTAAAATGAGGAGTTTTGATTTGAGTCAGCCTCAAATAAAAGCCAAGCGGATGTTTTTTGTGGGTTTCTTCCTTCTACTTTCTTTGGTGGTGATGAACAAGCTAGTGAAACGAAAGAAGAAAAAAAAGGGTTAAAATCTGCTTCAAAGATCCAACTTTCAAAAGGGGTTTAGAAAGCACAAAGCCAATAAATATTGATCCTAATGCTAAGGAACAAGCAGGATATCGCTGATGAAAGGCTCTCTCGGGAAAGAGAGCCCGGGAACAGTAGCATAGGCGAAAAGCTGGTTCTTTTTTCAAGAATCAACCACGGAAACGTGAAGAACAACTAAAATGTTACCATATCTGAGGATGAAGATTTTTAAAAACAATACAGATCTTTAACTCTTCTCAAATGATATTACAAAGAAAGATAAAAAATCTTCAAAAAGAAAAACACACGAAATATAAAAGAAAATTATATGAAAGGAGGTTGAAGAGAGAGAAATGGAAAAAAAGTTGGAGACAGTGAGTGATCTGATAGAGAGCTTGAAGGAGCTGGGGAAAATCAAATGGAATAAATGAGACCAAAAAAAATTGAGTTTCATTTGCTCGCAAACCGACAAATTTACATGAGATATCTTTTAATATTAATTAAAATATTTCAACAGCCACCCTCCTCATTTGCTTCCCTATTGCCTGATTAATATAAATTCCAGCATAGCAAAAATTAAATTAATAGTACTGACTTTTATGATTGAAATTATGAACACGATTAATATTATTAAACCAACAATTGTTATGTATTTTGTCTTTAATAACAAAACCAAATTCAATTTAACATTATGAATTTGTCCTTGTTTTCCTCCTTTGCGAGTTAGGTGTTTGATTATCAGTATTAACAAACTGATTAACCTAAATATTCATTGGCTTCAATTATTATCGTTCATGTACCTCTCTCATTTTCTATTTGAATGGCAGTGCCAACAACAATCTCTATAGATATATTAAAAAAAGGACCATTGGTTTTAAATAGTGCTTGTATATATATAGGTGATTTTTCTGATATATCACCGTCCATCGTTTTTTTTTCGATCAAGTACCGTTCAAATTATGTTTTCCGATCTAACACCCTTCGCAGAAAGTCTCGCCCCTGCAGCGCGCTTAACGCTTATTTGACACCAAGTGGGATAAGGCGCGTCTTATGCTGACATGGGGTATATGTGTGTATAGCGCGGCCACTGGGCGCGCCTGCGGCTATGTAGGGTATAGCGAGGGGCAGAGACCGCGCCTTACCTGTGAATCTGTCACGAGTTAGTAAGGCGCGCTCCCTGCAGCGCGCCTTAGGTATAATTACCCACCTTCTCCGACGTTTCACACACCAATCCTTCCCTATAAATACCCTCATCATCAATCACTTTCATCGCACCAAATTCTCTCAAATACTCTTATAATCTCTGTCTAAGATATATTTTATTATATTTTTATTATTTTGTATTTAATTTATTTAAGTATTTAACTTATTTAATATTTTACTTAATTATTTTTTTGCAGAAATAAAATGGAAGACGATCTACTTCGCTTGGATGGAAATCATATATCTCGACACTTTGCTAATACGGTAACATTTTAACGTTTAAATTTAATTAAAATTATTAGTACTAATTTGTTGATTTATGTAATGAATATTTATTAGAATAAGAATCAATTTTTGTAATTATTTAATTTTAGGAGAATGACCGTGTATTAGATCCTTTTATTATGAACCTTAAGCTAGTGATACATAGCTGTGTCTTGCCGTATTTAGTAGAGGCTGGATTTGGTTACATAGGTAGATATCAGGGTCATTGTAAGATAGAACCATACCTTATTTCTGCCTTAGTAGAGCGGTGGAGGCCGGAGACCCACACACTCCATCTTCCGTGCTGAGAGTGCACGATTACACTTGAGGATGTTTATATCCACATGAGGCTTCCGGTGGATGGAGATGTGATATAGGGGATCGCGCATGGTTCCTGGACTGCTTTGTGTCGGGATAATCTAGGATGTGTCCCGAAAAGTTTTAACGGTGGTCGGATACCGTTAAATTGGTTAGATGCCAATTTTCGAGAGTTGAGCGAGGACGCGTCAAATGATGAAGTTAAAATATATGCACGGGCATGCACACTGCAGCTGATAGGAGGGTTGTTGATGCCGGACAAATCGCGCAACCAACTTCACTGTATGTGGTTGCGACATCTTGTCGACTTTCGTCTAGCCGGATCACTCAGTTGGGGCTCGGTAGTTTTGGCTTTCCTGTACAGGGAGATGTGTCGAGCCACTGACTACAGGCGTAATGCTATCGACGGATGTCTCATGCTGCTGCAGTCTTGGGCGTGGTGTCGATTGCCCATTTCGTATATTAATCATTTTATACAATGTGTAATAATTTTTTTCCTTGAATAGGTGGTATACTGACAGGACAAATCATCAGGAGCTACCTGATGATTTAGAAAAAATTAGGGTGCAAATCGATCAGAAAGCTGGTACACAGGTATGAATTTTAATGTTTAAAAATCGATTTTAGATTATAGTTATATAATTAGATTATTATTTTGATAAAAATTATATATATTTGTTTTAGTTTGAATGAGTGTCATATTCTAATAATGATGTGAGGACGGTGATCCCACCTGAGTTGAGGGGCTCATCAGATGTTTGGATGGCGATTGTCCCTTTGATCTGTTATGCGACCATCGAGTGGCACTCCATTGATCGTGTGCTACGACAATTTGATTTTTTCAACCAATTCCGGAAGCACCTCGCAATATGGACGAGTTGCATATCACATATAGACGCAGCAAGACTGATACAGATTGGTTGGTTAGGCATCATGAGTGGGTCGTGTTGTGGGAGGATCGACATCGGCGTCTTCCCCGTAGAGAGCCCATTTATGTTGATGACTTGACGGTTGGTGATGATTATTATGAGTGGTTCAACAGAAACAATAAACCATTTCTGCTTCCCGAGGATGCACGAAGGCAGACCTTTCCACGACGTCGACAGAGATGTTCACCGACACAGCACCATCGTCCCCTGACTCGTGGACGGAGAGCATGTGCTTCCGGTTCATCCCGAATTACACCAACAGGACCTTCATAGCAGCCATTGTCTGCAGCGACTTACATACCGCAGCCATATATGACCGCCTTGCATCTAGGTTTGAGTTTGTCCCCCGAACTTCGCAAAAAGCGCTCCCAAATGAAAATATGTAGTATTTACCAAAGTCGCTACAAGTAAGTGACATACACCCTTTAAGGTTGAATTGATTGCCTCTGCCAAGTTGGTTCTCATGTGTCAATATCGATATCCACCATCATATGCATTCATCCACATTTCTTTATCGATGAGGTTGATGTAATTGTATTCTTCCTCGTTCTTCGCCCGCAAATCTTGAAGCATTGATTCAACCGATCGAGGAAGAAGTTCGTAGCTGATCAAAAAATGTATAATTTACTAACCATATCGAAAGAAAACAAATTACATCAATTTCACTTACCCATGCGCACAAGTAATTGACGCTCATCATTTTTCTCGTATCTTTCATGGTAGTTCGCAGTAATGTATCGGAGACAATATCTATGTTGGACAAAGGGTGGTTGCCACATTAGACCCAAAGACTCCATTGCCGGTTTGATCCTAGCTCTGCGATCTGAAATAACACAAATTTTTTCTCTCGTGATAACATGTGCACATAAATTTCAGAGGAAAAAAACCCAAGAACATGTATATTCTCATTCGACAAGAGCAAAAGAACCTAGAAGAATGTTGCGATTGTCATCTTGGACAACTGCCAATAATAAAACTTGCTTGTATTTTCCATACAAGAAAATCCTGTCGATCTGGACCACAGGTTTACAGTATTTGACAGCATTAACGCACTGTGGGTAAGTCCAAAAAACTCGGTAGAATTGGCGTCGATCGTGGAGAACTCGATCATTATGGTATGCATAGGAGGGTTCGAAGTCCACAATTGTCTCAGGATTCAACCTTCGTACCAGCCTTGAAGTTCGTTGTAAGATGCATCCCATTTGCCATGAAGTTTAACAATGGCATTTTGTTTTGCCAACCAAGCTTTTTTATAGGAGACAATGTACTAATACTGCGATTGTATAGCTGAAACCAATACAGCAACAACTATATGAGAGCTTGCTTTTACCATGGGCATGATGGCTTGACATATCACTTCCGAGTCCAAGTTAGGATGATCTTGGTTGACCCCTCCAGCACAACATGTGTGAGAACCGTTGTATATTGTTAGTTCACATCTGTTGTTTTTCCTCTTCGATACGTTAACCATCCAAGTACATCAATTTTCGCGTCAGGCACAGTAGCATACATATTTTTCTGTCGTGGAGCGGTCGACTCTCGATTGAACAAAATTACGGATATTGTAATTTTTTATAGCCATCATCGGTTATTCTTTGCTTGAAAACTCTATGTCTAAATATAACTCATCATTATTTATTGATGAGTAATATCCATAGTCACCGAGACGAGGCATATCCATAAATTCTGGCGCATTCATTACACCATAATCAGCTTCATACATGTGTGCTGGATGGTCAGTTTGTGCCACATTTGCTGGAACTTCATCCACATCATCATCGAAGTTGAATTGCGGTGATTTTGGGTGAATGAATAGTCAAGTCTCAGCACCATCCGCACCAGGATCACGAAGCGGTTCTTCTGGTGGAGATGATAGTTCATCCATGTTCTCCACATTTAGGTCGAAGAACCTACTACTTGCACGCCTTCCCCTTGAACTAGAAGACATGTCGACATTTAGATCGAAAAAACTCGAAGTCGAATGCCTCCCCTGGAGCTTGAAGCCATCGTGTCAAATGGAAACTGCACAGATTGTTGCGTCGATGGCATCTCCATATTAAGGTCAAAGGGATTTGCAGATGAATGTTTTTCCCTTGAACTGGACGTTATGTTACCATACGGATTGTTCGTCGACCCACCTCGGTACATATCGTAAGGAGTTGCATATGAATGTCTCCCTATTATGACATTAAAATCATTACACATTACTGTCGTCGAGCTGTCACCTTGATCAACTTGTTCAACCAACTCAAAATGAGAGCTTAATGATTGACCTCGAACAGCACGCACTTGAACAAACTTTGCATACATCTCAATATTCCCGTCTGAATAATTAATTTGAGAATCAGTCATCATTTCAACATCATTACTGTTCGATAGTTCGAACGCTGTATAAGTTAATGCCAACAATGATGTTGAAATTCTGTACTGCAATGACGACATTCTTATACTATTTCCAACATGAATCTTCCTCGAAATCTTCCTTATCAGTTCCTCAAGAGTTATGTTTCTATTCAAAGATATTTTAACACGCTCATTTGATACAAAAACAACGCCGGTTTTATCTTCTCGAATTTCACCATCATAATAAACAATAGCTGAAAGTCGCACCATTC